GGGCGCGGCGGGGTGGGAGGGGGCGGGGGAGAGGGGGGCGCGGGCCTGAGTCTGGGAGCACGATCCCGCTCTGGTCGGCCACGGCGCGGCGCCCGCGCCCCGTGCGGGCGGGCGCCCGCGATCCGAGATCGACCCGATCTCTCGCCCGATCGAGGCCCAGCGATGGCTTCAAGTGTCTCCTCTTCTCATGCTTTTCTTCTTTCGCCAGTCGAAACCGCGGGCGTCGTCATCTTGCAAAATGTTCGGGTGCGCGTCCAGCATTGAAGGCGTTGGCGCAGCGGTCTCGGGTGTCAGGGCTCTCAGCATGGCGTTGCGGACATGCCGTAGCAAGTCGCGAGAGAGCGGTCGAACGAGGCCGGGCAGGCCCGCGTGCAACGTTCGGCCGACAGCGTGAGCGCCTTTGTTTTCAGTAAGCATGCGCCAGGATTTACACCTAGTGGCGCGGGGCATAGTGCTCATCGATTGCGCTCGCCGCCTTGCTCGCCGAGCCTGCCGCCAGCATTGCGCGCCATTTATCCGGCAAATCTCGCATTGCGGCTGACAGCATGGGAGGGGGGATCGCGGCGAAGTTGCCGGCGAAGATATTGGCGTCAGGGGGCGAGAAAGGCGCGGTGCATGGCGACGGCGCTTTCGAGTTGGATTCGGAAGGTCAGCGCCCGAAGGCTTCGTCCTCGCTGTGCGCGCAAATAGATCGATATAATGCCGCCGCGCCCCTGCGCGCCCAGTGCGTTGTCGAGTTGCCCCTGATCGTGCGTCGGGGCGGGTCAAAATCCCCATCGGGCGCCTTCCGAGCGTCAAATCTCTCGTTGCATTCGCAGGTCGGCGGGCTGCCTGCGGGCCCGCGAGTCAAGGCAGCGTTTGGCGCGTATTGCTTCGATTACATGGGTAGAAGAAAAACGCGTGATGGAGGGTCTCCCGCCTTTCCCACCCAACGCGGCAATGCTTCCAGCCGAGCGATATTGATAGCGGACAGGTCGTAAAAGCATTGGAAAACGCACGTTTATCAAATTGACACTTCTGTTGGCACCGCGTCGCCTACATCGACGCACCCGCCCCCCATTTATGCGCGACCCCCGCGCGCGCGAGTCAAGGGTCCCACTATCGCGACCCTTATCAACAGATGGCAGAATTCGCTCGTTGGGCAGGGGATTCAAGGACCAGGGGGGACATTGCCGCAGGCGTTCGCAACATGTCGTCCAATGCATCGTCCTTCCTGTGAAGGGGCAAGTGTTAGACCCAGGAATGATGCTTGAGGCGCTGCGAGCATGAAATTTGCCTGGCACGTCGCAATCATGCGTTGCAGCCGGCGATTCCTCATCGCCTCATGAGCAGCAAATTCATTCTCGTTCTTAGCGCCATCAGCATACATGGCTTCTGGATCAACCATTTTCCGCGCTCTCGTTGCTTAAGCCAAAGGAGGCGGAGGGCGCGGGTTGATTTGGCGTTTTTTGGCGAACGCGCCCCTCGGGAAGTGCAGTCTTTTAGCGAATGCCTTCGGTGAGGGCACCGGCCCAACAGTGCCGCGCTCCCTCTATTTCATTTATTTCAGCATCTTCACCATCATCCTCACCATCAGCAACGTTGATTTCACTGGCCCCACATTTTGCCGTTTAGCGGATGTCCGGATGAGACGACCGTCCCAAGTGAACCGACGCCAGGCCCTCGATGGGGGCGGTAGGGATTGTGGTGAGAGGGAAGAGGAGGTGGGAGGCGTAGTAGCGGAGGCGGGGGAGCTACTACTTACTCGACTCTCGGTAAGGGCAACCTTTGTGTGAAGAGAGCCTCGGTGAGGGCAGGCTGCTATTTCCGCGCGTTTTTTTTTTTTTTGGTGGGGGGGGGGCTGGGGGAGGTCAAGGTGGTGGACTGCGCTGGTACCGGAGGCGGCAGAATTACTAATAACTTGACCTTCGGCGAGCATAACCTGGACTTGCAGTAAAGAGGCACTCGGTGAGCGCAGTCTGCCAGTAACAATTCCATCGAGGGCACCGGCCCAGCAGTGTTGCACTTCTCGCTTTCGTTTCTCCATCGCCATCATCGTTCTCAGCGTGTTCTTCCTTTTCCGTTTGCACCGATGCCTGCGTGCATGGCCCAAGAAGAACCATTTTCCATACGTTCGCTCTGTGCCAGAGGAGGTGAACGTGGTGGTTTGTTTGGATTCGGTGGCGGGACGGCAGGACGGCGGGACTTGTACGGGGAGAGGAGGAGGAAGAGGAGGAGAAGGAAATTGAGGAGACAGGGGTGGAAGAGGGGGCGAGAGATCGGAAGAGGAGGGAACAAAGAGGGCCGCAAAAGGGGTTTGATAGGGCGAGTTCGCGGATGCTCGCAGGGCCGTCCCCCGCAAGATGGTTGCTTGAGGATCGCGGGGGCCAGGGACGCTGGCGGGGGCCTGTGGTTGGAGTGGGGTGGCTGCGACGCGACAAATCGAACCGTCGGGGTGGAGGGTGCACTGCGGCGGAAAAAGGGTAGGGAGGGGGGCTGCGACGCGAACGGTGGAATGGTC